GTCGATGAAAAATTGCATAATATTGCTGACTGGTACCCTGGTCACGAGAACGACATTCATTTTTCGATGCCAGCGGGCTTACCGCGCTGAGGCTGAGCCTGGCAGAAGGAGTGATTCCCATCCCGCCAGGCTCAGCCTTAGCAGAACGTTGATGATTAGAGTCCTCCATAATGGCGCTGGCGCAAAGGAATGCAATATCATATCCCATGATCAGGATACCAAATAACCTCTGTATGCTAGCTTTCATCGATTTCGATAAGATAGGTGGTGGTGCCAAAAATGACGCCTACTGCACCAAAAATGAGTTTCATAATGGGTGATCACGATACTGCTTAATCTCTGTGGATGGACTTTCATTTTTTGAGTTTCCGGAGTGGTAATAGCGGAATAGTGCCGTGTATGACATTGCTTTTATTGTATCGTACTGCACCAGGCGTAATAACAAAACAGCTGAGGGATACCATAGATCATTTTCAAAGCTTGGCCATAATAATCTATTGATGAAAAGAGTTTAGTGGCAATGGTAAGAGATGTCTTGTGCTAGGAAATGGGTTTATTGATATACCCTTTTCACATAAAGCTTGGAACGCTCGTACCTCCTGTTTTTGCACGTACTGAGTCGCTGGTATCTACGAGACAAGATTCTAGGGTACATATCCCTCAAAAAAACTTGCAAGGGCGCTCATTCAGTGCTCAATCTAGCTACCCATAGATTATCGTTGTTTTAAACATTGATGAGGCCAATTTGGAACTAAAAACATACACAGTGCATTAATGTTACCACTAAAATGCACGTAACGGGGCTTTTGTCACCTGATGTGTTCTCCCTCTCTCTCTCTCTCTATCTCTCTCTCTCTCTCCCTCTTTCTCTGCGAGGGTTCGGAAATATTTTCGTATCCCATTTTCTAGGCGAATCATCGAAAGGGAAGAAAATATGGAAGACAGGAGAAAGGAAGGAAAAGAAGGAAGGGCAAAAGAAAAGAAGCAGAAGAGAAGCTCACAGACATCCAGAGACCAAAATTCACATTGAGGACCAACCGTCCGCATTTAACCAAGCCAACTTGCTAGCAATACAAAGAAGATCAGCATCTTTAATGTAAGAAGACAGCAAACGGCTCGTTCGCACATCCCCTCTCACCCACGAGAGTTTTTCCCATGAAGAAACGTGAATGAACTCGGCTCCAATCTAACTCTATGGACGCTGTTGTTGGCCAAAAGTGAGTAATCGTGCGAACGGCTGGAAGCGGCAATGCGCCAGGATGATTCGTTAGATGACCGCAAGCACTGTCGTAAATCTTACATACAGAGGCGATACGACATTAGCGGCCGCTTTGATATGTATGCCCATGTCTATAGCTAAGCACACATTACGCAAAGGACACTGTATTGAGGACACTGTACCTGGAAAACATGAAACAACTCTCAACGATAGCGCATCCTTTTGTGGCATAAGGGGTGAAACGGGACCGAGTAACGAAAAAGCAATCACAACTTTAAGTTTTCAATACGAGTTAAGTTAGAAGTTAGGGACGTAGTAGAAGACAGAACATGTTACCACCGCAGCAAAGAGTGTTCAAAGTTTTGGATTTTACGGCCGTCAGAAAATCTGCATTGGCCATCGAAAAGCGGCCTGTAGTACAACTCTGCCCGTGTCTAAAGACACGACAAATAGGGTTCCTGCTTCTAACTGAAAAAAAAAAAACAGAAAAATTTTCGATACAAAGCATTTTGGCACTACCAACTCTTTATTGCTTCAGTCTCCAAACCAAGCCAGTTCTTTCGCCGTCCCTTTTCTCTAAAAGCAGGCTTGGTCAAAAAGTCATTTTTAGACGTAGTTTGACCCCGGGAACTCGAATACTACACCGGATTCGAAACTGCGCGGCATCCGCGTTACAGGCGAGGACAAACATGCTTGTTTTGACCCCGGCGCTATAACGTGTGAACTCCAAGTGATTTTCGCCAAACGGTATGCTCGAGGAGTTACGGGGAACACAGCGCCAGAGCACTCAGGAAGAGACGGCAAAACAAAATTCTTCCTTTTGATAAGACTCAACCTTAGCCGAAGAAGGGATCATATATAGAGGGACGTGCAGGACCGAAAGCAGAACAAGCACTGTGCATGTGTACCCCCATTCCCTCACTTCCTCCCATCTTTAACTTCCTTGGCGTCTCATGTAAGCATGATATCCGTGTTCACAGGATCAAACTGCCCTGAGAAAGAATTTCCGCGAATGTGGTGATTCGTGTAGTTTGAGGCCGACACAAGGCTTTTTTTCATGCCAAAGGAACTTCAATTTCATGCGAAAGGGATTTCAATTCTGAATCGTCCTACTTAAACTTAAGTAGCCAAATATTACATGAATAAATGAGAACGTTCCGACCCAAAGCATCGGAACTGGTGCACTGAGAGGGCAGATTCTGCCAACATTCTCTCCCTTCTTGGCACTGTTCCCAAATGCGAGTCGAGTTTGCTCCATTAATCTGCAGTTCTATTACATGCCAGTGGGCCGCGCCGTTCTTCTTGAAAATGTTTCTAAAGAAAAACCTCTCCACAAACTATGCTAGTTTCATGAGTATCGATTCACACATTCCAAGAGAGGATTGCACACACACACACACAGACCACACACACACACATTCCAGACACACACACACACACACACACACACACGCAAATAGCGCCACGTGTGCGTATGCGGGACCTAACTTGTAGAATCCGGATGTCAATTTCCCCCCACGAGCTACCCCACGGAAACTGATATTAAGACTGTCATACCGAATTATTTTGCACCGTGATTACTAGTAAGCATGCAACGCGTGCCTTCGCCAGTGAGTTTTTCCACGAAGCCAAGGAAGTAGTGATAACCTTCCCTAGGATCAGCCTTAGCAGGGCGTAGACAACATGTGAGCACTAGGACACCAGCGGCGCCAAAAATGAATGTCGTACTCGTGATAAGGATGCCAAATAACTCCAACTTTATATGGACTTCTGTCAAAAATGTGAAGATGCCAAATAGCGAAGGTGGCGAAGTCGTGTGTTGTGACACTAAATACCCATTATTGCCAATGTTCTGTCGAAGAAAAAAAGAGACAATTTCCAAGACTCTGCGGTTGTAATGGGCAAGCTTTGCTGCATGCTTTGCTAACGTATGTGCGTCAGCACAAGCTATGTCTTTTGACACCCCTTGAGACCATATATGATTTCATAAGGTTTTCGGAAAATTTCGAAGAACAGAATGGCAAAAACATACCCTAGTTCGCTGTGGATGAAGGGGCATGTCAGGCAGTATGAGCCCAAACACGTTCTGTGCCAGTTGGTAAAGGGGTGAAGGAGTTATGCGACAAGAATCCGTAGAAAAGGAGTGATACGAACAATATGATACTGCGTTTTACTTGCTCGCTCCAGCAACTGATGAAGAAGAATTTGGCACAGCGCCAAACTTATTCCTCCTGACACGTCCCTTCGTCCGCAGCGAACTATACTATATAAACTTCGAGAAACAAAGATCATCATACCTGTCCAACTGCAATGCATTCTCCAAGCACAACCAATCTTTCCACACGAGAAGAAAGTGACGAAAGATGAGGCTCAGGTGTAGATTCGCCATTCAACCAACGCGTCATTTTTTCAAATGCTGTAGACACCGGTTTCTGTACAGAGTACTTCATATAGTAGAATGAAATACCTTCTATACGGTAACATTATCCAAAAAGTGGACGATGAATGCTGCCCACCTTTTTTGGGTTAAAACACTAGTAACTGGCAACGGCAGAGGAAAAACAACCCACATCATTGACGGCATCACCAGCGAGCTCAAGACCTGATAGGAACGCTATGACTCCTCTACTTTTCTCGGCTGGCCATGGGCGTTGAGGACAGGGCGTTGGCCATATTACTTTCTCCACTTCGAAAACATCAGATTTCACCTGAACGAAATTGTTCCCAAAATAGACCACCCATAAATTAGACGCCACAAGCGCTACCTGAGATCCATACAGTCCTACAGTGCACCCAGTAGCTACTTCATCCATCGAGATATTTCCCTAAGAGCAAAGGAATAAGAGCACGAAAATCTGCCTGGTGAACAATCACCGCTCAAGCCATAGTTGTTCTGATAATGAACGTGTTTGACGCGCAGTCCGGCGACAGGGGGAGGCATTTTGCACTTTCGCTCTTCACTAGTTCTGGTTTACAAGGCTCACTCTGGTTATCAACTGTTGTAGGCTCACGAAATAGCTCTCTAGATGGCTCAACACGTAGCTGAACGTAGCAAAAGTGCAAAATGTCCCAACCCTCGTCGCCGAACTGCCCCGTAACTCCGCAAAGTTTAGTGTCAATTAACAAAGTTCTCAGCTTACTGATCAGGAGAACAGTTTAGCTAATCCCGGGTGATCGAGGGAGCACCCCTCCAAAAACAAGGTAGAGCTCTAAGAAAAATAATGGTGGCTTTCTACAGAAGCTATCTTTTTCCAGAAAAGACTGGTCAGAGTAAAATCCCTCACTTCTAACTTCACAATCTGCTTCTCGTCTTCGAACTCTAAAAAGTCCTTATTTGACACAATCGACATCATCTCGTCCGGGTCGTAGTCCTCCGGCAAGACCATCTCATCTTCAGCAATCTCCTAAGTGCAGGTAGCAATGCAAATCTTCTGGAGAAAGTCTGCCCTTAGTTGCTTACTTTCAACACGCTAGGCCTCTTGCTGATTCTTTTCTCGATGATTCCAATAACAAACGCTTTTTCATGCATCTCCAAATCTTCCAATTGTTTGTACACCATTTCATCACCTAATCATCAAGATTAACACTAAATCATGAAAAGGATCTTGACTGATCAAGAAAGGCAAAAACATCACCTAATTCTTTCTTTCCAGCATCGAGTATTCGCGATTTAAATAAATCCAGTCGAGACATGTAAACGTGATTGTACTGCCGCTCAAATGCATCCTTCCTATCGCCCGCAGTGAGCAGGAATTTCTTGGACCTGTTAGTGTAATCTGGATCAACACGTTGCACCATCTGAATACGAGCTCTTTGCTGTAGATTCAGAAG